GGGCGCGGGGAGGCGGCGGCGATGTGGTGGGCGCTGAGGGCAGTGCGGCGGCCGCCGCCGGCCTTCCGCAGGGGCCTGGCCAAACCGGCGCGCCCGCGGAGCGTCCGCCAGCTGAGGGAGGCCGAGGAAGCCGCTCCGGTCTTCCAGTACGCGGGGAAGGCGGCCAAGCGGAAGGACCGCGTCTTCGTGTGGGGCTTCTGCTACTCGGGCGCCCTGGGCGTCCCCAGCTTCGTGAAGCCGGACGTGGGCTGGAAGAAGCCGCGGCGGATCCAACCCACGCCCTACCGGCTGGAAACGGAGGAGAAGGTGGGCTCGGGGCGCGGGTGGCGGCTCTGTTATGTCGCGACAGGGCGGCGTTAGCATCGCTTCTTGAACAGCGGTGCACCGTCTCTGTCCGTGCCAGTTAATCTGGGCAGGCTTCTTTTCTCGGCTTTGAAAGGCGTTAAGTAATCTGAGTTAAAGACTTCGCTGTGATTGGTTTTTTTTTTTTTTTTTAACTGATGTAGTGGTGTTAATCACGGTGGGGTGTGGTATAAGTAGAGTAGCATGCGATTTGGGAAGTATATATTTGTTTGTCAGAGGCGTAAGAGAGCAAGAGTGTGAACAACATCTTGTCAAAGAAAATGCGGCTCGTTTTCAGCGGCTTTTGTGGCTACTCTCACCTTGACGAAATTGGAACCTTGTGTCAAAAATCATGTTATTTTGTGTGCGTGTTTCAGGCATCATTCTCTGCTGTGCAATTCAAAGAAGGTCTGAGGTTTTATTCTGGGCCTTTTTTTGGCAAAAGGAGTGAAACAGGGGAATGTTATTCTCTTAATGTCTCCTTGTGTTTGTTTTCTTATTGTCTGTTGCTGATGCAGGTCAGCAAATAGGTCTTCCTCTTGTGTTTGAATGGGTCCAAAATAATGCAAAAATAAAGATGTACACACGCAATAACAAAACTCTAGGACAGTCGTGTTGGACTTGAGTTCATACCATTGTGCTTATCACTGAAGAGTGTTTCTGATCATTTTTGCAAAGACCATACATACCGTGAATTTGGGCTGTATTTGGATATAGCTGTCGTGGTTTAACCCCAGCCAGCAACTAAGCACCATACAGCCGATCACTCACTTTGCCCCCACCCAGTGCAATGGGAGAGAGAATCAAAAAAAAGTAAAACTTATGGGTTGAGATAAAGACAGGTTAATAGGACAGAAAAGAAAGAAAATAATAATAATGGTAATAATAATAATAATAAAAGGATTGGGATGTATAAAACAAGTGGTGCACAATGCAACTGCTCACCACTCGGTGACCCATGCCCAGTTAGTTCTTGAGCAGCAATCCCCACTCCCCCCAGCCAACTCTCCCCCAGTTTATATATATACTGGGCATGACGTCCCATGGTATGGAATACCCCTTTGGCCAGTTTGGGTCAGCTGTCCTGGCTGTGTCTCCTCCCAACTCCTTGTGTCCCTCCAACCTTCTTGCTGGCTGGGCATGAGAAGCTGAAAAATTCTTGATTTAGTATATAAACACTACTTAGCAACAACTGAAAACATCAGTGTGTTGTCAACATTTGTCTCATATTAAATCCAAAACATAACACTATACCAGCTACTAGAAAGAAAATTAACTCTATCCCAGCCAAAACTGGGACAATAGCTTAATGAAGGATGAATGCTGGTGAACAAATAGCACAAGGTGAAACTTGTTTTTCTAAGCCATTGTTTATAACTGAATGTTGTGGTTTTGTTTGTCTTCAAAGATATCCTCTGCTGCCTGCGGTTATGGATTCACACTGCTGTCCTCTAACACAGCAGACATCACCAAAGTGTGGGGCATGGGGCTGAACAAGGATTCCCAGCTTGGATTCCAGAGAAGCATAAGAGATCGAAGTGAGGATTGAAGTGTGTTAAAGACTTGCAGGGTGGCACTACAGGATACGTGTGATGTGGGAAACTCCGTGTTAGAAGGGATGAAGAATATCCAGGAGGCTTTGATACAGAGTGTTGGGCTATACTTTTTTTTTTTTTTTCTTTAAAGAGGTCTTTTTTTGGAACTTAGCTGTGTGTTTGTGTGGTTTGTAATTGGTCAAGGTATGGATCTGTTCTGTGCACTGCACTTACATTCTTACCTGGATGTAACTAAAGCCTAAGTAACTACTTATTCTGCAGAAGGGCGTGTGTGTGTTGATTAAGGTGTTGCTTTGAATCTCTAGAGTTTGATGGTAGACAATGTAGTGGACTAGTTAATAGTTTTATTAACTATTTTTGGCAAGGTGGTTCTCTCACTTCTGTTGCCTTTGCACCTATAAACTAAACTCCTTTCCCACAGAGATTTTTTTTTTATCCAGTAAGTTAAGTTTTTTGTGAAGCTGTAAGGGTTTTTTATTTTAATACCGAATTGCATTTTGAAAGAAAAACATGTTATTCTGTAATTCTGCCTTATACCGGGCTCTCAAACGCGTTTAAGATGATGATTTCTGTGCAGAACATTGCCACCTTCCACCTAAGACAGATATGAAAACACAAACTTAATTCCCTTATAACATGGCTGTCTCTAACTGTTTGAAAACATTCCTTCATAAACAATTGGGGAAAACCATGTTAAAAGCAGTTTTTCTCTTTGTAGTGTATAAGAGCATAATCCATTGAGGTATGGCGCATCTGATATGGGCAAAAGATTAAACTTTGTGGAGAAGCAGAAGAAAATTGCAGCTACTGTGCAGAATGCTGAAGTTTACAGTGGTGCTGCTGTTGTGCATTGCTGCTAGCAGACTTTGCACGCAGCAAGTGTGCTTAAACAGCAGCTGCAAAATGAAGGGTCCACAGAAACCCAGTTCACTCACTTCTACTTTTAAAGGTTTCAGCTCTTATGCTGTCTTGGTTCAGTACGCGCTGATGGCTCAGGAATGTCTTGTCATTTTCTTGTTTTTCATCTGACCTGCAGATTATTTTGGCCAGAGAACCCAGAAATAGGTTAAATAGTTTTGCAGTTAGAGCCCCCTCCTAAGTGAGAGAGTGTTCAGTGTTTGGTAGGATCTGTTGAAAGTGACATGCAGATCAGTGGGGTTGCTACTGCTCTATATTTAACTTCCTACAATGGCAAGCTTCCTGTTGGATGTGCTGCTTGTTTTACAGACTTATTTTGGTACCTGCTAGTCCCAACACTGTGTCCCTGTAGATGCTTCATTTCCAGGGGAATTTGCAACCTTCTGACTTTTAGATGGTTGTATTTCATGCTCTAACTTCAGCTGTTTCTAAGCTAAACTACTAATCCTTCACTCTCCCCCTCCTCTTCCTTAGCCATCTCATTGCCTCTTTTCTCCAAAATCCCTCAGATATCAGTGATGATTACCACAGATCCCAGTAGCTTGTGTCACTCTGCTGGAAGGAACAGAGAGAGAAGAAAAGGTTTTTTGCTTTGTGACTTCCACATCCCTTTAGGCAGATACAGACTTTGCTGCCTTTCAGTTCGTGCTGTATTGCATGGCAGGCTCCCATCATTTGCAAACAGCCAGTTGTGATGCCTGTCCTCGCATCAAGTAGTGCCTTACTGTTAAAAGCGTATGTGTAGTTTTTCTGGTTTTTTTGATGTGAAAGCAGTGAGAACTAGTTAAAGCACTGTTACGTGTGAGCAGAATACTGCTTTGGGTCCTCTGGGGTTTGATTTCACTTGTTACAGTGGCTTTCTTTGATATCAAAGCTTTTTATCTCCCCTTAACCTTTTCCCTAGTACTGATTTATGTTTTGCTGTTCTTTTTTTCTTCCCCCTTTTTTTCCCCAGTTGGCTGTAACTGATTACATATTCTTCAAATTACTAAATCTTCTTTTTCTAGCACAGCCTGTCATTTTCTTTCATAAACATTAGATCTCTTATCCCCTATGGAGCCAGGCCAGCTAATGTTTCTTGCATTCCTTTTTTCTGAAGGGGCCTTTAATCTACTGTTCTTTAAATATGAAGCCCTAAGATTTTTTTTTTATTCACCTTTCAGGCTGTCTTTTTGTGACTGCTGCTGTTGTACCTTGTTTGCAATATCTCCAGTTGCACAGAGTACTTAGTTTGTGCTTGGTGTTAAGCTCTCTGGTAAACCAGCCTTATTCACCAATGTGGTTGAGCATATGGCTGAAAGCCTCAGTTTCTCAGTTCTGGCCACCTGAAGCCTTAATAACATTCAGCCTCTGGATATGGTGGATTTTTGATTAGGCAGTGATTATTGGCTTCAACCATCCCTATGGCTTTTAACTTCTTTCCTCCCTCAGTGAATCCCAGTCAGCTTTTTACTTTGGTTAGTATCTTGGCTTTCTAAAATATATCTGCTTTTGTAACAAAATACAAGTAAGCGTGTGTATGTACAATAGGATCGGGAAATATATGATGAATTTGCTTTGTGGAAGCTACTGACTTTTTAAATTTCTCTCTCTTCCTTAAGCTAAGGGCTATGAATATGTCTTGGAACCATCTCCAGTTCCATTACCACTGGAGAAGCCACAGGAGACTCGAGTCTTGCAGGTGTCCTGTGGGAGAGCCCATTCCCTGATCCTGACAGACAGTGAAGGAGGTACAGTATCACTTTTGCTGGTGACAAGGGATGCCTGACTATGCTTTTATTAAAAGCTCCAAAAAAGATTGTCTTCTGTCCTTTAGCACTAGACCCCAGATGGGCTGTCTGCACTCTAAATCTGATGCAGGTAGCTGTTGGCCTTTTTGGGATTGCTCCCAGGAGGGAGAGCCCTGGGCTGATAACCATGCATTGAGCTCTGCTTGGCTCAAGCTGTAAATGTGTTGGAAGCTTTTTCACAAATGTTGCAAAATATGGTTTGTTTATCTAGCCCCAGGCCTCGTTTAAGTGTAGCCTATTTGTCTTGTTCCGTCAGACATGTTTTTGAATTCAGTTTTGGATGGCTATGCCAATACTACTGTGTTACTTTCCCATTGAAGCCCCAGAGTGCTACATTAATAAAAGTGATTAATTAATAGGCCTTTATACAGAAGATCCTGTTCATGAATTGGCTTTCTAGGTCTCTGGGAATTCTCTGGTGCAGTGGCTTCAGTGCTACACTGAGCGATCCAGTGCTGCTTATCAGTGGGTGAGCTGGTTGGTTGGTTGATTTAACGCTCCTGTGGGAGCACTGATCTATTTCTGAGTCTCCTTGGCAACGGCAGGATGAACTAGGCAATTACTGAAAAACAGCCAATGGGCTCCAGGTACTGCTACTGTGCTTGCAACAGTATCACTGGGTTATTGTTGACGAAAATGGATTCAGTCACTTGAATTTGAGTGGACTTGGTTTGAAGAAAGCTTATGCCAATTTTTACAGTACTGTGTTCCACCTTTCATACTGAGGACCACATGAAAATATTTTGTGTGCCTGAAAAGAGGCTTTCAGGGGATTGGACAGTAATAAAACTAGTGTATTTTATCATTGTTTTTCAGTTTTCACAATGGGGAACAATTCTTATGGGCAGTGTGGCCGGAAGGTTGTTGAAGATGAAACTTACAGGTGAGAATCCAAAGATCCTGAACTTCCTTGATGTTAAAAACATAATTGCATGAAAACAGCACTACAGAAAAGCCTGGAGGTGGGAAAAATCTGGTAGTGTAAGGATGCCATTTAAGATTAAGGAGTCGGAGAACAGGTTTTTATGCTGCAGGCATCTTATAAATGGCCTGGCTTTAAACCCAGGCTGGGCACTAGCACTCTTCTGACCACATTCACAAAAGACAGAAAGATGTCAGCATGTGACAGTTTTCACAGTGCATAGTGAGAAAACCCAACCTTCATAAATTGCTTGAGGTAATTGGTGTTAGTAGTCAGTCTTTCTCCCTTTAGCCTCTCAGAGTGCAAGTGCCATTTCTGAGGGTGTTAGAAATGGATTTAATGATGAAAGAGGCATCCTTTTGTTGAATCTCTTTGCTGTAACTGCCTTTGAATCTGCAGTGCTTTTCCTTTACACAGTTTTTGTGGGCCACACCAAAGCATATTCTCAAAATGCTCTGTAAGATAGTAGTGATATGAGTGGATAGTGGGAATATGTTGAAAGTTACTGATTCCCTGGCAGGCCCTAGAAGAGATCTTGCTCATTGTGCTCTCTGTGATCCACAAGACTTGGCCTGTAGGGTTTAAGAAAATAGCTGTAATTTAGCTAGCTTTTTTTTTGCCTTGATACTGGAAGTTAGTCATTAGATTGTTCAGAATTCCTGTTTTTGTGAAAGAATGACATGGATGTTAACGCTACGCTGTGCTCTGGGGTATCTGGTTAATCTGTAGTTAAGTGAAGTGTTTATATAGGTGCTGCAATATTATCTAGTGTCTGTGCTCATTCTAGACTAGGGAACATGTTTGAGGATTGCTCCCACCCCTGATTCCCATGAGAGGTTATATTTAAAAAGTGACAGTTCTTAACTTCTTAAATAAGAGTATGCAAAATTACTTTCCTTCTTTGTGCAGTAATTTTACAGTGGAACCATGCTCTTTGAACATATAAGAGAACATGTGAAAGAAGCTCTCTTCTTCTAATTAGCAAAGTGACTTTCAGTAAAGGCAGGTCTACCTTCACGTTTTTCAGTTGCAGTCCTCTGAAATCCTCTGTGTTGCCTTTTCTCTTCTCGGTGGTTGGGTGGTGGTGTCCAGTGAAAGCCATCTAATTCATCAGCTGAAGGAGTTTGACAGCAGAGTTGTCCAGGTAAGAGGATCATCTGAACTGAATTCTGAAGGTGAACTGAAAACTGGCTCAACAGCTGAGCTCAGAGGGTGGTAATCATTGGCACAGAGACTAGATGAATGCCGGTAACTAGTGCTGTATGCCAGGGGTCAATACTGGGTCCGATCCTGTTTAACATTTTCACTAATGATCTGGATGATGGGACAGTGTACCCTTAGCAAGTTTGCAGGTGACATAAAACTGGGAGGAGTGGCTGATCCACCAGAGGGTGGTGCTGCCATCCAGAGGCTGGAGAAATGGGCTGACCTGAACTTCATGAAGTTGAGCAAGGGGTAGGGCAAAGTCCTGCACCTGGGGAGGAACAGCTCCAGACACCACTATATGCTGGGGACTGATGGGCTGGGAAGCAGCTCTGCAGAAAAAGCGCTGGGGGTCCTGGAGGACCCCAAGGTGACCGTGAGCCAGCAGCATGCCCTTGCTGTAGAGGAAGCAAATGGAATCCTGGGCTGCATTAGGAGGAGAGTTGCCCGCACGTCAAGGGAGATGGTCCTTCCCTTCTGCTCAGCACTAGTGAGGCCGCACTCAGAGTACTGTGTCCATTTCTAGGCTCCCCAGTACAAAAGAGACATGGACATACTAGAGAGAGTCCAACGAAGGGCCATTAAGGTGATGAAGGGACTGGAGCATCTCTCCTGTGAGGAACTGCTGAGCGAGCTGGGACTGTTTAGCCTGGAAAAGAGAAGACTGGGAGGGTGTGTCGTGGCAATGTGTATAAATACCTGAAGGGAGGGTGCAAAGAGGACGGAGCCAGGCTCTTTTCAGTGGTATCCAGTGCCAGGACAAGAGGCAGTAGGCGCAAACTGAGACACAGGATGTTCCCTCTGAACATCAGGAAACACTTTTTTACTGTGACTGAGCACTGAGACAGGTTGCCCAGAGAGGTTGTGAAGCCTCCCTCCTTGGAGATAGTCAGAAGCCATCTGGACATGGTCCTGGACAACCAGCTGCAGGTGGCCCTACTTGAGCAGGGGGGTTGGACCAGATGACTTTCAGAGTCATCTTCCAAACTCAGCCAGTCTGTAATGATTCTGTAATGACAAAAAACCCCCAAAACCCAGTATGGAAATCATTCAGTTGAAGCTCTTTGAAATGATGAGGTGATCTACTATATGGTTGCTTATAAAAAGCACAAGGTGGCATTTTGCTCCATGCCTCTGGAGAGCAGTTCTAACTGGCAATGCAGGGTCTGAACTTACTGAGGAATTTGATGGGAATACCAATGCAGCATTTGTTGCTCGACTCGTAGATAACACCTGCATGGCAGGGAGGTTGTTCTGATGCCTCATCTCTTCCTGTCCTGATTTCTTGCTCTTGTTCCCCTTTGTCACTTTTATATCACTTGGGAACTGTTTTATTTTGAGTTTTGTCTTCCCCATTTCAAAAGCAAGCTGTGAGACCGTCCAGTTAGACTAGCCAGCATTTCCATAGGGCAAGTTTCTAGGAGAGCAAGGGACTGCAGAGCAGCATAAATGCCACTGAGTCTGTACATGGCTGCAATATTTCCAGGCACAGGAGCCATTTGCTAGTATGTCTATGCCGCTGTAGCAGTACTCTGCGAGCAAACATTGCTCATTTCCGTGCAGCATCCTAGAAAGCAAGGGTCATTCATTTAGATCCACGTGATGAGAGTGTGCCATGGTACATTCTAATGATGTTTTGAACTAGGCTCATGAAGTTGTGTTTGGATTTTTCATTATTTTATTTTTTTCAAGGTGGTTGAATAATTGGTACCTGTTTGTACTTCGATGACAGCAGTTATGTGCTTAATATTCTTGGTAGTCACTCTCTTAACTTGTGTATTAAATCCCTTTAATCTTTGGCTAATTTTTAATGTCTGCTTTTGAAGATCTTGGCTTTAATTCATTGCAAGCCTGTGGCAGACATGATTGCTAGTTCAACATAAATGTCATTTTGAGAACAGATGTGTTCCTAGAGCGCTTACATGGCAAGGAATCAATAGCAGTTTGTAGCTGGCGTTGAGAGCCATGTGGTAGTGCTCTGGGAAGGGAGATCTCTTATCTACTCTTTGGTGTTTTATTGTGTTGTACTGCTGAAACGAGTTTTCTGTTAACTAGGCCTTGTTTTGGATCTCAGAACAAACCAACTGCAGCATCACTTTCCACAAAGAAACTTCTGCTGTTTTCTTGTGCTGTATCATGCTATTCTTAGCCTTGCCTGTCTGTAGAGCCGTTTGATCAGGAGAAAAAGGTCAAAATCTGAGCTGATGGGCATTGTAGAGGTTCATTGCTCAATTTGTCTGCCAGTAATGCTTCGTTAAATCGATTCTGAACACGTGACTTTTCCTGACCAGCTCTGACTTTTTGTTTGTGTGCAGGTTGTGTGCGGGCAGGACCACAGTCTGTTTAGAACCAAGAAAGGTGCGGTCTATGCATGTGGATGGGGAGCTGATGGACAAACTGGTAGGAGCTCAGCTCAGCTTGCATTTCAGTTGTTATGGATGCACGCATAACCAAATCCAACAGGTGTTAAAACTCAGATTTATTCTTCAGTAAAAAGTTAGTTAGAAGTCCGGTAACATTTTATAAAACCACAGGCTCAATGATGTAAAGAGAATTAATACTACACGGCCGACTTAAGAATCCCCAAGATTTAAAGTGATGGCTCAAAACGTGCATATCACTCACCTAAAAGCTGAGGGCTCTCTCCCTCGACGAGTTACCTCAGGTGGTGCCCCAACCTGAGTGGGAGTCCACGACTGCAGACCTGCTGCTCCAAGGAGGACTGCCAACGTGTCCTCCAGCAGCACCCCATTTATACCCCTGTCAGATCTGACCTGTGGTCATTTAATTCTATTGGCTAGGAGGGTCACCTCGGTATACCTGGCACATCTCAATTGGCCAGTTCAAATTTCAACCTGCAGCCTCCAGGGTTTCCTTCCCCTTCTCCCTGCCTGGAGAAGTTTTGTTTCCTGCTGGTGGGGGGGCGGGGGAATGTACTGCCACATCAGTGAATTGATGAATATAGCAAGCTGTCCTAATCCAGAGCTTGTGATGTATATTTGTCATGCATGTGTGGACAGACAGGGGGTAGTATGTTTCCAGCTGTGTGCAGATGTTCTCAATACTCTTGTGTAACCAAACTGAGACAAGTGAGTTCATTTTTAGAGGAGCTTTAGGATGCCACGCTGGCAATCCAAGCATGCAGTCTGAGGAGAACATGTCTATTGTTTAAAGCTTGTGAGGGGATGTGGAAGTGGCATGGGAAGGTTATCTCCCTGGTTCTGTGCAGGCTTTGCCTTCCCGATTCTCATTTCAGGATCTGTTTTGCTTCTTGCTCCTTTTGAACTGGCAGAGACCTTTGGCAGCTACTGCTGTCTTAGCATGACATCTTTGGCCAGGCCCTTCTTCTGGTGGCTTCTGCTGTCAAAGAACTTCCTCACGGTCCTTCCTACTGTTTAGTCCTTCTGCTGCTGAAGCTGGGTTCTTCCCGTTGTGCGGACCTACTGTAGCCCATCTTGTTTCTCTCATCTACATTCTGGCCTCTTTTCCAGGCAGCTCTTTGTCATGTAAAGTGTTTGCTTCGCAGCCTCTTTTGTCACTTCACCTGCTGTTGTCTAAACTGATTGCAGTGTGCTGTCACTCATGGCTCTCCTTGCAGAAGACAGGATGCAGCCTGTTTGTGAAACTTCACCTCTGTTGGGATATCTGCCTGGCTTGCTTACTGATCTCTCAAACACTTTGGTCCATGCAGACAAGAGAGATGAGTGTTTTCCAGGTGTGATTGTATAAAGTTGTTTTGTACTCTAGAGAGGTAGCTTTGGCTAGTAGAACTGGTGTTTGTGGCTGCTTGTCCATTGAAGCTGGTAGTCAAGAGATATGGACAGAAAGATTTCTTTTGGAAGAAGGGCGACTGGGTTAGAACATGACAAAATGATCCTATGTAGGTGTTAGAAGTATGTCTGGAAAAAAATTCTTTATCATCTCTTTACTTTTTTCCTTTCAGGTCTTGGACACTACAACATCACCAGTGTTCCTACTAAGCTACGTGGTGACATTGCTGGAGTAAACATTATCCAGGTCTCTTCCTATGGGGACTGTTGTCTGGCTGTTTCAGATGAAGGAGACGTCTTTGGTTGGGGAAATTCAGAATACTTGCAGTTGGCGTCTGTCACAGAAACCACACAGGTCAGTTGGCCTGGGGGTGTGTTTTTACATGTTTCAGTTCAGCTGCTGTGCACAGAGTTAAAAATTACACAATTCTCCCTGCTCTGGGTTCTTTTGACAGCAGTATAAATCAATATAAACTAACACCACTAGCAGGCCTGTTTTACCTATGCTTACAAAAGCAATCTGTCTGAAATGTTTGTATAGCTTTAGGGCAGTATGTTTCCCAGCTATTGATAGGCAAAGGCTTGTGTAACCTCACCCCAGTTTGTTAGTCTGTTATAAAGGAAGAGTACACCCCATGTTCTTCTTTCCCCATCCCATGGACTTTGCACCAAATTGAGATCCAGCTCAAGTGCTTCTGCTGGTTTCAGGACAGGAATTAGTCTTTTGGCTGGCTAATCTAGAATTTTGAGTGGTCCTGCTTTGAGCATGGTGCTGGTGCAGATGACCTTTGGAAGTCCCTTCCAATCAACGTGTGCATTGGTGAAGTTTTCGTGAACAACCTTAGTAGGTTTATAGCTGAGTCCTAAACAAATCCCAGTGTCTCGCAGATAAAAGTTTTTTTTGAACAAACTTATGTGGGGCAAAAATACAGTGCTGACTTGACACTAAGCATTGTAGTACTGAGGTAATTAGGCAGATGGTCTCCTCTTACAGTTAGTGTAGGAAATGGAGTCAGGGAATTAATTAATACTGAAGCTATTCTTGGCAGAAGGCTAAGAGCAGACAGTTTCATTAGTGTGGCTTCAGTAAAATATATACCTTTGTTTCCCATGCCTCTCCTGATGTATCCTTAATGTAGGGCTAATTACTGAGACCCGTAAGGCCTGAATACAACAACCGGGTTAAGTAACGTAGTAGTTTCCTCGCTGGGTGCTTGATGGAGGTCACAGGGGTTTGAAATGGATGAATGGCATGTTTGCCAAAGCAGGAGTTTTAGGTACAATATAGATAGAGTCCAAACTGTGGAATAGCAGAGCTGGATATTATTTATGAAATCAGAGGCCACTGTTTACGTGTGTCAAGCTGTGCAGGTTTCTGTTGTGTTGAACTGTACCAAATAAGAGTAATTTTCTTCAAGTGATTTTTCCCTAGTATGTTGAAAAATGCCACCGCAGACCAAATTTTAATGATCTTGTCCATTGTGAAAACTTGCAAATGTGCTTACCTATTGACTTTCCCATTGTGTCTGAATTGGGGGGCAAGGGATATAAGCAGACGTTAAGCATTCCCAGCTTTATTGCCATGCACGTAAGCTTTCCAGTGGGTAACTTCTTCCACTTTGTCCATACTCTCAGCCTTAATGAATTTTGTGTTGTTTTTTTAATCTTGGGAATTGCATTCATTCTGTTATTCAGGCAATAAAGGTTGTCTATATTAGGAATTCAGTGTGTGTAAGCTCTAACCAGAGCTAGAGAACAAGTTAAAAATGTGTATCTAGTTTGCAGTTTACTGTCTCTAACAACTAACTCTCTTGCAACCTCATACAGGTGAATGTTCCCAGACATTTGCCATTCAAGATTGGAAAGATAAAGGAGGCTGCGTGTGGAGGGACTGGCAATATTGTGCTAACGGGTGAGTTTGCTTTTATAATCATCCTCTTCAGTGCAAGGCCATGCAGTAGGTGGATTGTAACATCATGGAGCAAGCATCTTGTTTACTGGAAACAGGAAAGTACTGTCTGTTACGAGGAAAGCTGGGAGACTGAGAAACCTGTGATTTAAGAATGTGCTAGGGAAGTTGTTCTCACTAGCTGCAGAGCATTGCTTCCAGTATGTGCTGTTGTGAGCATTACGCAAACTAGAACAAGGGCATGGTTGCTGCTTGCGGTTCTGATCTCGTTTGCTGATCACACAGGCCATGTGTGGCCTATAATGAAGATGGATATAGGGAGGAAGGAAGGCAACACTTGAGAGAAAGAAGAGCCCTTCAGACTCAATATAAATCTGACATGTAAATAAATCTTGATAAACCAGGCCGGAAAGTAGAGAGTTCTGAGAGCAGTAAAACTCTGCAGCAGGCTTCTTAGCGAATGCTGCTTTGGATTGCCAGTGGCCAGGGGAGCACAGTTTGAAAGTCACTGAGTAAAGGAATGAGGGAGGGGATTGTACTACTTTTATGAAGGATCATCTCAGGGAAGACGTTCATATATATGTGATGTGGTTGTTGTGATGACAAGACTTTTGAGCTTCTAGTGTGAAGGGAGCGGAGCTAGCAGACGCAGCAGCTTACTCTGTCTTATGCTGTCCAACTGCTGCCTTTCCCAGGCGCCTAGTTTAAGGCAGAATGCCAGGCCGAGTGACTAGCCTACTGCGGGTTTGGCCATGCCTCAGAGGAAAAAGCGGTGATAATAAAACACTCAAGCTCTGTCCCATCAGTCAGTAAGCTGAAGTATTTTATCCAGCCCACAGTGTGTTGGCGTTATTTCCCCATGAAAGTTTTGCCGGTGAGGCTTGATCTGCTTGCACAGCTTAGGAAAAAATTAAGACATTTGGATGGGAATGCATTGTTTGCAAATTTTAAATAATCAAAAGGTGCTAGACTGCTCTGAGAGAAAGGAAAATATCCCTTTGGATCTGATTAACTCTTGGACATGGCATGAATTTCACAAGCGCAGACTTTCTTACAGAATGTATTCTTATTGTAATACAGAAGAAGGAAATGTTTTCGTCTGGGGATATGGGATTCTTGGGAAAGGACCAAACCTAATAGAGACAGCAGTGCCAGAGATGATCCCACCCAGTCTTTTTGGCTGGTCAGACTTCAATCCGGACATCCGTGTTGCTCACGTTCGCTGTGGACTCAGCCAGTTCGCGGCACTTACAAGTAAGTTTCTAGTCCTACTGTTGTGGAGAGGTCACATTGCTGTATTATTGGCAAGCAGAAGGAAAAAAAAAGTGCCCATCTCTCTTTAAACTTAGAGCACACTGGAAGGCAACAGGAGGGGCGGGCAGCACGTTTACAAGTGTCAGCATGTCTAACATAGGTACTGCGCTAACTTATGCTTTAATTAAGAAATTGTTATTCTTCTAAAACAGACAAAAAATTTCTCTCAAACAGTAAACCTGGGTAGGTTTCTTCATTTCCTTGTACAGAATAAGTCAGGCAGTTGCACTTTAGAAGCAGCAGGAATTTATGTGATAAATGAACAAACTAAAACTGAGTCTAAATTGGAGCTCGATGTCAGGGCTTCTTGGCTCTTCTGACCAACTGAGTTAGCAATCTGAGGTGGGAAGACCTACACATTTACATTGGTATGTAGACCCTGTACTTGATACCAGCCTTTAAAGGAAGTTTTGAATTTCAAAGTCATTTAAAAATGGGCAGCAGAGGGCAGCAGCACAGAAACCCCGTGTACTTGATAGCTAAAATAATAGTTTACTAATGAAAAGTGCCAGGTGCCAGCATGCTTGGCCCTTCTTGGGGAAGTGGTATGCATGACGCTACTGGCCTGGTTACAGGGTGCTTGTAACTGGTTTCCCCCTGGTATTCAGGAAGTGTTAGAAACTGCATTCTGATTAGTTGTACTTACGTTATAGATCATGTTTTGATTGTCTCTGCTGTGGGGCTGATCTGAACACTTCTGAAATCTACATGTTTTGCTGAGGAGCTTAAAAGTCTCCAATTCTGTTGAACACAAGTTTTTTCTTTTTCCCAGTTGTCATTAGAAGGTCACTTCTGTCAGGCAGCTGAATAACCAGTCCCCAGGTGATGGCTTGGGACAGATTTTAACTGCATTGCTTACCCGATTTGCTGTGGTGATAGCTGATGTGGGTCAGCTGTAATTGTCTAACTTCCAGCACAAATGATTCACTTCACCACAAATGATTCCCTGGAATCTCTTCTGCTGCACTCTTTCTTCAAATAAAATTCCAAAGCAAGAGCTGTAAGAGGGGGAAGCAAAGACTTGTGCCCAGAACTTGCTGCTTGTCCTGCTCATTAGGCATCATTTTCCCCAAGCACAAGTACATTTATTGTACTTGGAACTAAACTTGATGGCTTTCATACTGCATGTATAACCCTTTATACTCCCAGAAGCACTGTAGCCACACTTGCCAGCATGACAAATAGAATTCTTTCTTTTTAATGACTCTGCCCTCTTTTATTCCTTTTATTCTTTTTTTTCCCTGTACAGATAGAGGAGAACTGTTTGTATGGGGCAAGAATCTAAGAGGGTGCCTGGGAACTGGAAGAATGGAAGACCAGTATTTCCCATGGAGGGTAAGGATGGTAGTATTAAGGCCAAGACTGTATTCTTTAGCTAGGCTTTGTTATCCTGAGGGCAAGAAACATCATTTGCTCTGTAGTTTTGTTGAGTAATTTTGAAAGAAGTGGAAGCCTAAGAGGACTGTGGAACTGCTTTGTTTTCCAGAGGTCCTTGCGTAGCCTGCTTAGCGATGGAGGTATTCAGTAAAACTTTTAGTCTGCTATTTCAGTATCGATTTCAGATCCCAAAGCAACATCTGGTGCTGTGCCATCACATCTGAACAGTTCTCACCTCGCTCCTGTCCACAGTCTTCTACCTGCTACCCCTTGCTGCCTCTTCCCTCACCTTCTAACCTGCACTTGCTTTTGCACGTGCTGCAAAAAAAACCACCGGTATTGGTCATCTGACCTGAAAGACTTGTATTACACATCCAAATTAGGTGAACATTTTGGTCATGGTGGTCAGACTATAGTGGCAGCAGGTCTACATAGGAGTGGGCTTCCTGCCCCTGCTCCTCTTCCAAGTCAAGCAGCTATGGTGGTGGGTCACTGGACTGACTGTGTAGTTACAGTAGGAGATCCTTAGCCACTGAACTGTTTTCATAGCTGTTTTGCAATGCTTACAGTTCCACTCCCTTCTCTCACATGGCTCTGAGAGCCAGACTCTGTGGGTGTAGAAGAGTCTTTGGCTCTGGAGTTCAGCACTCAGCCTAACAGATGTTCCCAGTCTCCATGAAGGCCAAGTAGGAGAGGAGGGAGGCAGTCAGTTGGACCACCCTGGAGTCCCTTTCCGAGTGTCTGAACTTGCAGTGAATGTGTTTGCCTAAAATCACACTGCTGCGGCTGAGTGGAATTTCTGAATTCACCAAGCATGGCACGTCCTGGTTTCCCTAAGTGTGGTCGTTGAGGGTTGTGCTCCCTCAGATAGCCAGCTCCTGCCTGACACTACTATGGCAATGTACCAAAGCAAGGGCAGTTACCAGGATACTTGTCTGTGACCTCCTGCCCTAGAACTAGCCATCTCTCCTCTCCTGTAGCTCTAAGGAAAAACTTGCGTTTGTAGTCTCTGCTTTCCTTGAGTTTCAAGTCAGCTTTAAGTGAAAGAGCTATAACTACACTAGTCAGTGAGCTGGGTCTGCTTAGCATCAAAGCAAAAACGGCCTTAGGCTGAGTTGAACTTTTGCCTCGTTCCAGTCCTTGCTGATGAGAGAAGAGGCAAATCCTTGTGGTGCTTGGGCAGATCGTCTTCCCGCTGTCTGGATTATGCACTGTTTGGTCATGCTGTTTCTGCTGCTGAACAGATGGGCTGAGGCTACAGTCTCCTCACTGTCTGCTAGTGAGCCCTCTCTTTCTGTCCTTCCAAAGGTTGATGTGCTTCTGTGAAGGGAGAAGGAGAATATTTCACAGCTCAGTGCACAAGCATGTCTGGTGCTGAATCTTGCTTTCTCTGCATTTTCAAGATGGTGCTTTCATTGGTACAAGTCCCTGTGAAACCAAGTGGCATGTTAAGCAGAAGGAGGATGAGAAATAGGAAGTATATCAGGTGCAAAGTACCAGCTTGAGAAATAATCCACTCTTGTGTGTCTGATCCAGGTGACTGTACCCGGCGAGGTGGTGGATGTTGCATGTGGAGTTGATCATATGGTAAGCATGGTTAAGTCTTTTACCTAGTAATATTGCTGGGCCTCAGCGCTGTGCTAAGAAGATGGGGGGACTTGGTGATGAGCTTCTTGGAAAGGAAGACTCATTCCATGGAGCTAAGCAAGAAGTGACTGCGAGCAAAGCCAGCCACAGCAGTGCCTGGGTGCGTTGTCATCTCTGCATCATTAAAACGGTCCAGCCTGGCTGCAGGAAGGAAGTACTTCCCTGAGGAGAGTGGAAATGCAAGGAGTGCTCTGGCTGGTTCATGATGAGCTCCCAAAGAGTCTGAGGCCCAGCCCACAGCTGGTGAGTCCCTCTGTGCCTAAGGATGAAGAGCATCTGCGTCAAGGAAGACTGTCATGAGATGAAATCTGTAGTACAGGACGGTCATTTATGGACACTTTCCCTGTCACCAGCTCTGGGGTGTCAGCGTTGGGCTGAGCCAAACTATTTCTCAAGGGAAAGGGGTTCTTTTTATAACTATTTTTCATGTGGGAGAAAAGTCATGCTGGCTGTTGGAGTCCAGCACAGCTGTCCTCAGTGTTCACCACCAGCTGCACTCTGCCCAAGCTGCTGTTCCGTGTGGAAGCCGGATGCACAGCCAGTGGCCTGGAGGCAGTGGTGTGCTCCTAAACCCCGGCTGTTGCAGGCTTTCTGCGTGGACTCTAAAGACTGAACACCCAAGGAACACATTCATTAAACAGGAAGAGTGAGAACTTGTTTGCAGGGGGAAAGTACTGTTAAATAAGACAGCATGGAAAGATAAATCATAGGCTGTCTATGCTGCTGTTGCTGTGGAAGGACAGATTCATAGTGCCAGTAGCAACCTAGCCTATTTATGGAGGTACGCTGGAAACAAAGCTCCCTCTTGGCTACCTGCAGGGTTGGTGCTTAGGCAGTGGACATGAGCAGTGCTCCCTGCTTATCAAGTACTTTTGTCTTCATGTGCTGATCATGAACCACTGCCTTTGATTTTCTGGGGAGTCCCTGCACTCTTTCTGTCTTCAGGGATATGGTGGCTCTCAGTTGCAAAGAGCCCTTTTAAATTAGCCAGGCTTTTCTGTAGTGCCTAGCAGGGGAAGGAGTCTTAATGGGCAAGGAGCAGAGCCTTGTTTCTTGGTAAATGAGCAGAGAAGTTGTGGTGAGTGCGTTTAGGACCCAGTAAGCTGATGGAGAGGGGGTGCAACAGCTGTACGTACCCGTAGCAGGCGCTTATCAAATCTCACACTGAAGTGTGGCAAACTGTCTCCTGTGAAATACTCTAAACATGAGGCAGAGTTGTATCATTTCTCTCTGTGTGGGATACTTCTACTGTGTAAATTATTTTGGCAAAATCTAACCTGATATGTTTTTAATAAAGTGATTATAAAGTCTTTATCAGTAGTAATGGGAATATTCTTGAGCTTGACTTCACACGTGAGCTGCTTTGTCTTGCACTCTGCATTTAAACTTAAGCATTTTGGTTCACACTGATCTGACAGGAGACCTCTTCTGTCAGCTGAGACACCTCCGCACCTGCAGGGATGATACCGTTGTGGGCTAGGCACTGTATCCACGGACCCAGTGGACACGGCATACTCACATTTTGGCTCCATTAGCTGAAATTCTGTATCAAATCTGTTGTGTAATTACCAAAACTCAGGGGATAAGCTCTACCTTTGATGAAATAAGGCTTGAAGGGCTTTGCTTAAAATATAGGAAAGGTGAAACAAAGTACACAGAAATAGAGACAGGTATATGAGTTGTTATTAACGTTGCTGTGTAACTGGTATTGCTGTGGTGGGTTAAGGCAGAACAAGCAGAAAGCTACCATTAAATTGTGGCAGACCACTGCTGTGAATTCCCATTAAGTTAGCTTTAATTTATACCTTATTCTACATGTGACTTGGGCAACTTGAGCTGCCCAGACACGTCTTGTTGGCCTCACGTGAGTCGCTATGCCCTTTTAACATGAGGAAGCTTATTAAAGCATTGAAAACAAATATAAAATCTATGGTAGGAAAGGTGTTACAAACAATTCCCTTCGTGCATGTTGCTGTTTGAGGAGGGCTGCATGGGATGGCTGGTTAGTGCTGGGGAGCGCTGCAGGCTTTTAGCTGCTTGTGTTCAGAACTGTTTCCTGATGCCACTTGGGGCTGGGCCTTTTGGAGAGCTGGGATGAGAATTAATGCCGTGTTGTATGCAGTTGTGTTGCAGTCTTGCTGTGCAATAAATTGCAAAATCTGTGTGTTAATTAGATGCCAGCAAGGTCTTTAGCCGTAAATAGAAGTGTTGTATGGCTTAATGCAGTGGGAGTGTTTTCACTTTCATTACAGTGGCTGTGGGCATTCTCGAGCACGCTGCTTGATGGGAGCAAGGTTAGTGGCAGAGAGCCTATGGTCCGGCAAACACCAGCGCTGACCCATGTTTTGGTTAAGGTGGTGTGGGGGGTTGACCTTGGCCAGGTGCCCACCAAGCTGCTCTGTTGCTCCCCCTCTGTCAACAGGACGGGGGAGAAAATATGATGGAAAGCTTGTGGGTTGAGATAAGGACAGGGAGATCACTTACCAGTTACCATTATGGGCAAAACAGACTCAACTTGGGGAAATTTTCATTTATTACCAATCAAATCAAAGCAGGATAATGAGAAATAAAACCAATCTTAAAACACCTTCCCCCCACCCCTCCCTTCTTCCCTGTTTCAGCCTTACTCCTGACTTTTCTCCCTCTTCTTGTTCACAGACCTTGGTGTTTGCATGGTTGTTTCTTTCTTCCAGCTGCTGTTGCACAGTAACTTTTCTCCCTTCTTAAATACATTATCACAGAGACGCTACCTCCATCGCTTATGGGCTCGGCCTTGGCCAGTGGAGGGTCTGTCATGGAGCCGGCTGGCATTGGCTCTGTTGGACATAGGGGAAGCTTCTCACAGAAGTCACCTCTGTAGCCCCCCCTGCTAACCAAAACCTTGCCACCCAATACAAGCAGGCATTGCTGAAATGATTTGATCCACAAGATCAGACTAGAGCACGTCCAGAGCCATTAGCGAGGCCATGGCAGCAGTCATTTCATTATTCATAGTGTCTTGCCCTACTTACTTAAAAAGTTAGATATGGCCTGAGACCCCCAGGCCCAAAACCAACTCCCAGTGTATTTGCGTTTGCTCAACAGTTATGTACAGTGGGGTCAGTGTGTGAAGTGGACAGCAAGAGCTTCCAGGGTGGTGACAAATGTAGTAGGACACTGCGCTGCCTGTCCTTGGCTGGGCAGAGACCTGCCTCCAGCAGGCTGCTGGGTAGGTGGCACAGATTGTCCTGCCTGTGGGGTGGCTGTGTGGGTAGGATGGGTCAGCAAAAGCCTGAACAGGCAGAAGAGGCCAGAGTTGGATGTCAAATATATTATCTTTCACTTTTTTTTTATTAGCCTAAAAATAGGGCCTGATGAGGAAGACTTCTGGGACTGGATGTTTTTGTCCCCTCCATCCCTGCTGGGGCAGCGCTGAGGCCAGACTGTGCAGAAACCCAATGCAGCAGACCCTAGCTAACGAAAAGTGCTCTCCGTAACCCTCACTCCCAACCATTGCTACCTCCTTTACTGTCAAAACCCAACCCTATGTTCCCCATCTATCAGCTGTTTGTACTCTCCTCGGGTAAGAAACAGGCTGTACTTTTTCTTCCTACATAGCTCAAACCAGCCCCATTGTCCTCCTGGACCACAAGCAGGGACTACCCGTGCACTTGTCATGCAGCTATAGTCTGTGGCCGAAGTAGAAATGATGATGTGACCTGTGGGTGGGTTTGCTGCTCTCCTGCCCTGCCTCCAGCCAGTCTTGTGTCGCAGCTGAAGTGCTGGTGGGTTGTGCTGAGCTTGTGGTTACCTGGGCTGGAGCTGCAGTTCCCAGCTCTGCTCTTGCACCAGCAGGATTCTGGAAGCTGTGCTGGCTAAAGCTGAGGCCACTTTCCTCTGGTTGCTGGGGAAGAAGTCTGAGTGGCAGAAGGTTCCTCGGAGTGCTAACAGAGGGAAGAACGTCTGTAACGCCATGTTTTCTAATTGCCAGCATCATACTGCAAATGTTGACATGCAGGTGGAAAAAGGTGGACATTCGTAGGCCCAGCTGCCCTCTGCATGATCGAGAAGTTGTGTGCGGGCTGTGCAACATCAGTGACAACGAATGGGAGATAGAGAGGAGCATCTCTGAGATGCAGCATCTTGGAGAGTCCCCGGCTGCGGTAGAGAAGCAGGCAGTGTCTTCCAGGTGAGTGCAACCTCTGAAGCAGGTGAAGGCTGGACACTGGTGAGTTCTGGCACTAAGAGGAAAGCTTCTACCCTGCCTAAAGTCTTACAATTACAAAATAGGTTCACTGGCCTCAAAGTTGAAGAGGAGCCAGATGTGCCTTCAACCAAAGGCTCTGGTCCACATGACCACCAGGAGGAAAACACACTGAAAAAAGAGCAGAGTTTATTTTTAATTTCCTATCCTAGATCCCTTGGCCTCGTCAGCTGTCCTTGGGGGCTGTGCTACTCTGGTTTGTGTGCTGAGAGCAGCTCAGCCTATTTTATCCCCATGTTTTGAAGGGCGTCACCACCACCACCCCCCCCGCCACTGCAGACCCTTCCCACCCCACTGAGCAGCCCCTGGTGCTCCCTCTGGGTCCATCCCAGGTCCAGATGGTCTCCAACAGCAGGTTGCAAATTTGGGAACACAGAGACGGAGATGAGCTGGATCCAAATGTATTTGGAGAATGGTGGTGGGGCTTTTGGCTATAAGAAAATCTGAGAATGTGGATGAAAATGTCCATGCCATATCCTAATGAACAGCATTCCTGTAGCAGTGCCCGTCCCTGTACTGCTAGGAAATAACTAAGGCAAATGTTTTATTTAAGAAAAAAAAAAAGGCTCAGAAAAATAGAAAAATAAATACACTCTTCCCCCTCTGCCCTGCCACCCCTTACATATCAAAGACAACCAAAACCTGAGCTTTTTATGCTGCCACTCCCATGACTGCTGGGCCAGGGCCATGCTGTGGTGTAATGACCTCAGGTCATTACGGGTATGTACTGGAAGGCAACTTTGTATTATTTTGTCCTTCAAAGTATGGCAAATTAGCCAGCCCAAAATATACCTGCATCCGTAAATATACCTGCAGCGAGGGGGATGGGTACAGGCCAGGGATGCACATGGGGAGCCGCTTAAATTAGAACTAAAATAACCTACTTGATTTCGCATTGATTAGCAAGCGTAATTCACCCTCCAAACATCACTGCGCTGTCAGGTTTGGCTTAAAATAGCCTGAAAGCACTTTGGGACAAGACACTCGCATAAAGCTGTGTAGACGTGCAGCTCCGAGGATGTTGGTGGTGGAGCAGGGCTGCCACACGTATTAGCGGCTTGGGGGGGGTGCAGGAGGGAAAGGGTGAAAGATTCCTGCCCAAATGCTGGCAAGGGGCTGCTGGCAATTCCCTGCAGGAGAGCTGGCCCTGACATGGCTCCCGCAGCCCCTCGGCTGCCCCGTGAGCCCCCACATGGTGAGGCTGGGCTTCTCTATCGGCAAACTGCCTAACTGGGAATAATACACATGAAAGCCCGTAAGACAAAGATTATTTTAGGCACCTGCTACATTACAGCAAACTCTTTTTCTCTACAGCATCCTTCAAAAACAAATGACTCAGAGAACTAATAATTAGCCTGAAACATTCAAAATACGCCTGAAATAATATTACTTTGCCATGACTCATCAGAATCTATTTTTGTAGCATTTTTCTGCAAGGGGCTGGATCCCCCTTTCCCCCCCACCGCCAGCACCCCCTGCTGAGCCTGGCCAGGTAAAGAAGAATACTAATGCTAAAAAACTTAGTGTATGCAGTGTCTTAGGGGGTCTAGGTGCCAGTTAGCCTAAATCCTGCGTATTAACCCTAAGACGCCAGTTGCTTTTGCAGGTAGCTGCAGGCAGTGCTGAGGTTGTATGGCAGTGCATGTGTTGATTTTTATTTTTTTAACCCCTTGAGGGAACACTCTGCATTAAGGCTGCATTCCAGATTAGCAATCCTACACTAAATTCTTCTGTGCATGCTCTTACACTTGACCAGAAGAGTCAAAAATGGCTTATGCTAAAAAGAAGATACTTTTCTTGACCACAGTTTATGTAGCTGAGCTGCTTCCCTTTAAACAGCCAGTATAAATTGTTGTAACTGTGATGGGTTGATGATACATCTAATTTCACTGGGGGTTTTTTCTTGCACATTTCAGCCAGGTTCTTCAGCTCCTCCTTGCCGAGAAGCGTGTGGCAGTGGCACTGCGCAGCTGTGTTGCTTACCAAGGCTCAGACAGCACCCAGCAGCAACTGCCCTAGAACAGTCTGCAAGGGGATGACATTTCTCCCCTGCCCCTGTTGGGGTGCAGGGCTTGGGTGATGCCCCACCAGGGTCTCTGCTGGGGCCCTCCAGGCTCCCAGGTGTCTCATACTCTTCCGTGAGCAGGTAAAAATCAAGTCTTGCAAACACACCAGCAGTATCCCACTGACTTCTTATTTTAAGGGAAGAGGATGGGGCAGGTTGGGCGGCTCCCAGAGAACAGCTGCAGGATGGAAAAGATAGTGGTGGGTACCATCCCCAGGGGGTAAAATACACCCGGTGACAGGTCCAGGACACCAGAGAGCCCTGGGGACATCTGCTGACCTTCTGAAATGGGTGTATGTAGGCAAAGGGCACTGGTGGGAATAAGGCCCAGCATTGCCATAGGTTGACAAAAAAGAGAGCTACATCTTATAGACAATGCCAAGCTCTGCTTTATTTTCATCAGTTTGATCAGTACAAAAGCAGACAGCGTATGTTTCACTTTTTATTCTTTTTCATTTTAATTAACACTTTACAAAGTACAAAATATACTGTCATTTATTTTGGAACATTAGGTTTTTTTTTTTTTTTTCCGTTTTTTTTTTTTTTTTTTTTTTTTCCCATACAGTACATAAATCTCAGCTTTTCAGCATAAGACCAGCAAAGAAAAGAAGCGTGTGCACTCGCTGGGAAAGCAAAGCATCCACTTCTCAGCTCCACACTTCGTGCCCAGAGCACAAGCCTCAGCTGCTGCCACCACTCCCTCTGCCCCATGGCACAATATTCCCCCTTGCGCAGAGGCCGGCACGAGGGCCGCTGATGTTTTCGGTCTCCTTTATGCCTTGGGCTGCTGAGCTCTCAGGAGCCGCTGCCTGGCCCCACCGAGCGTAGCCGGCATCGCCCGCACGGCCAGCCGGCACGAGCAGCCTTCCCACGACGGCAGCTCGGAGCAAGGGGTACAGCACGGGCCCCTGCACAGGGTGAACCCCTCCCCCCCAGTCAGTTTGCATTAGTTTGGTAATTAAGGGGAAAAAAAATACCCTTTTTTTTTGCCCCCCCCCCCCCCAAAGGAAAGGCTCCCGTGGGGTTTCTGAGAGAGGTGAGCAGGGAGGAGGGGCTGCAGGAGGTTGGGGTGCCCAGGGCTGCCCATGTCCCCAGCCCGACTGCAGCCAGTTTGGTGGGTGTCTGAGGCCAGAAGTGGTATTTTACTTACAGAGAAAATGATACATAAATAACTTTTTTAAAGAAGGTCCTAAAGGTTTGTGTTTCCTCCCCGGGCTGCCCAGCATGGCCGTTCCAGGCAACCAGGGAGCAGAGGGGCAGACCCTGCTCTGAGCTGGGCAGCTGCTGCACCAGGAGCCTTTCTGCTCTCTTGGCAGTTCTAGAAATTCGGTTAATGCTTGGCCATCCTGGGCATCTGGGGAAAGGTTGGGCTCCTTCTTAAGTCCAAGAAAAGGGGAGAAAGAGAGAAATGCTTAGTCTTGTTCAAGCCAGTTGAGACACTAATAAAGTGGCGATGCACTTACAGCCATGGAAGGGCTGACCCCCACCCGCCCAGCTCTGAATGTGCCCAGCGCAGTGGAATTACACCGTAAACCTGCACCGTGACCGCACAGGGCAACAGCTCACTACATTTTAGCCCAGAGGAACAGAACTAAAAATCTGTCCCTAAGCACTGATGAGGATGATGAGGCTCTCTCCAAATGAACCCTCCCAGGTGCCTTATGGTGCCCAAAGAGCAGGAGACAAGCGACGTGAGCCAGCGCCGTGCCATGGGGCCGCAGCCGGACACGTTTGTGAGGGAGGGCTGCAGATCCAGCGTGAGTTCCCTGGGCACTGTGGCACTGAGGAGACCCCCAAATCCCAGCACCACCAGGACCTGCTGGCATGGCTCAGTGGTGGGAGCAGGTGAGTGTGTTCACCAAACTGAGGTCATCACCCCCCCTAATTTTAGTGAAAACAAGGGGACAGCAGGCTACCTGAGGAGTTCATGGAGAGGGAGGGAGACAGGCTCTTCCAAAGGCTGAATCGGAGCATCCAAAGCCAGATCCTGCCGTGAGTCACTGCCCGGCAGCCTCCTTCTCCCCTGCCTGTCCCAAGAGCCATGGCCTTCCCACCACTTGGGTCGTCAGGATGAGCGTCCCCTTGCCGTCACTGCCGTCCCCAGCTGCCGCAGAGGCAGCGCAGAGGAGGAGGAGGATGGCTGCCAAGGTGCTCAAACAAACGGCCCACACCTCAACTTCGTGTCTCACGAACCCCAAATCCAAGCCTGCAGCCCGCGCGCAGGGGAGGGACGACAGGAGGAGTGACCCAGCCGCAGGCAGCGGGGACAGGGGACGGGACCACGCTGGCTGTGACACTGAGCACAGCCCTGGGCTGGCGAGGGGCAGGTGAGTGCCACCACCCTCTGCATTGCCAGGCCCCTCATCCCGGCGCGAACAGCACTCAAACACAGTTCTTGCACCCCTACTACCAATGGCCATCGGATTAGCACGATTATTTTTAGCAGCAGTAGAAGCGACGTTGTCGGGTGAGAGGCAAGGGCAGCCCTGGCTCCAGCACAACCAGAAACACTGGGAAAAGACTTTTCCAGTACCTCTGAGGAGCTGCAAAAGAACTCCTGCCCCAGGAACATGATGTGCTCCTCCGTTCCCCCAGGCTATCGGAGCAGTTCACAAATACAGAGCAAATAAAAACCTGGAGGAAGGAAGAACTGAGACAGTGTGGCTTGGGCCACGTGGGGCTGGGAGAGGGGACCCTGGCAGGCAGGGTTTGGAAGAGAGTGGGGGCACGATTCACGTTTTATTTCTACCATAAAACTAAAACAAGGCCAAGGTCACTGAGCTGGAGCAGACAGCGTCTGTTCCTAACGGTCAAAGGAAAAAACTGTGTGCTCCTATTGCAGCGCCGTCCTTTTCGTACACTGATCCTCCCAGCCCCAGCACTGACCCCTGCTAAACAGCACCAACCCACAAACACACTGCGAGGGAAAACAGACGTGTGCTCCCAGAAAGGAGGTGTTCAAAATTCAGTGATTTCTTCAAAAACAGGACTAGTTAAATAGCCTGCCTATGCGAATGGCATGGCTGGCTGGGAGAACCCTGAAGACCCGTGCCTCAGGGCTGAGCTGCGGTGGGGAGGGTCCCTGCACCCCCCCACCTGGAGGCAATGCCACCCTAGGAAGGTTTGCCGTTCCCGCAGTTGTAGCAGCAGAGCCAGCTCTCTAGGTAATTTCAGTGACCTCAAAAATTCAAAAAAATCACAAGGCTGGCCTTAAAAATAATTACAAGAAACAAATGCAACAAAAGGTTGTGGTTTTTTTTCTCCTTTGCCCTGTGCATACAACCCCCTCGCCCCTTCCTTCAGCTTCCCACATGGCAAATGCTCTTTTGCTCTTCCCACCGACCACAAACCCAAACAGGAGACCACTGGTTTTCTTCAGCAAAAGGAAAATTCCCTCCACATCTCCTTCCAGCCGATGGGAACGACTCTGTGCAGGCAGTGAGGACACAGAGGGCGAAGCGGCTCCGTTTGCCAGGGCTGTATCTCCCGTGTGACCTGTTCCCCAGAGCAGCCTCCCGCCAGCCTGAGCCTGGTGGCTGCTTCAGCGTGTTTTAGCAGGCAAAGGGGGCTGAACTCCTCTTTTAGAGCCTGAAGGAGCATTAATGCTCACAGCAGCCATCCCGGCAAGCAGGATGCTTCCAGTGGCATTCCCACAAGGGAATCAGGTACCTGGAAAACTATGTTTTTCAAGTTACAAATGAGCTGGTAGGAATCCTTTGGAAAAAAGAAAAAGCTTACTACTATAATTGCAGAAAACTGGTTTCAAATCCTCAAGACGCTGAGATAGCAGCAGAAAGCTGGGCAGAGCAGGGGGACCCCAAACTACAGCCAGCCTCTGACAGCATCTTCCCAAATGCGCCATGCAAGAGAGACACTGCCTCTGCCACATCCACACAGGGAGGAAAAAAGCAACCAGCCCCCCTAAAACAAAGGATGAAAGGAGCCCTTTTTCTGGCATCATCTTTTAGGGATGGGATGAGATTGGTAAAACCACTGGGTCTGCCTAGAGAGGGATACTCGGGAGCTGATGAGCTCTCCTATGCTACAGGCAGAGGACAGAGCCAAGACAGAGGGGAGCAAAGTGCTCCCGCTCTGTGCTCGCAGACTTTTCAAAACTTCAATCCTGCCAGATTCCTGCTGGGCAACTCTGTTCGTCTCCAGTCCAAAAATCCACCCACAATTCATTTACAAAATTCTGCAGAAAGCTAAAAAAGGACGAAAACAAAAAACCCAAGGGAGCCCAGGGATTTAAGCAGCTGGTTTGCAACCACACCACCACTCGCGCAGCCCGTGACGGTGCTGAGCTGGCCACGCTTGAGCTGTGCAGCCGGGGCAGGAGATGTGCGGCTGCCATCCCTCTGCTGCTGCCTGTGCCTCGGCTGCAAAACTTAGGGGCTTTCAGCTGGGATGAGCTGTCTGGGGTTTGTGTTCCCACATGGTTGGGCCCTCACCAAACCCGGGGCAGGCAGCGGCACAGGTAAGCTCCACAGGGGAGTTACAGAGCACGGAGAAGCTATTACATGTAATCTGCAATTACAAGGTAACATTCAGTCTTAGGCTTCGGTATACAAATTATCTTCCCAACCTGACGGAGAAATGGCTGGTGCTGTCTAGAGAGACCAAGAAAGGGACATCTTGGCTAGATATGTTCCAAAGAGGTATGTTTCTCTGCACGTTCACACCCTAAAATTAGAATATACTTTGATACAGACTTCATTTATTTCCCCTGCTTAAAACAGGCCCTGTGCATTGCTCCGCACTTACCAGAGCTTCTGCAGGGGCTGTTGCTGCTGCAGCCAGGCTTTGCTGATCAGCCTCCAGTACACAACCCCTGTTCTTCCCCTGTGCTAATTGGAGCTCGTATTTCAACCGAGCTGTGCTTCATGAAGATTAAATAAAGAAGAAGGCCGAGGGATGGAAAACAGGGACTGAAGACAGCAGAATAACTCAAGATTCACAGTCAAGCATTTCCCTCCCAAGTGCCCTTGGAATATCCCACAGCCCTCGCTGGGGATGTGCACGGAGCATTTCTGTACCGTCTCAGTGCTGCCAGGATGCCTGAGGGATATTGCTGGCCCCTGACACATATGGCCCACGCAGGGGACAGACAGACAGACAGACAGATGTATTCATGGGGAGAAGGTATCTAAATCTGGAGGCAGATCTGCAGATCTCGGCCAATGTAAACACACCCCAGCACATGCTATAAAATGTAAATGCTATTTGGCAATGGATTACTGGGTTTTACTCTCTAGCAGGTAATAAAAGTTTAATCCAATCCAACGTTTGCAGGCAGGACTGGAACTGGTAAGTGAGATGCCTTAAGCTGCTTACTGGAGATGTCCACAATAGTCATAGTAACAGAGAGAAAAGAAATCCTCATCAGAGAATGATTTCTTGTCCATCACCGAATACTGCTGTGAGACACCTTCACTCGGGAGCTAGCAGCCGACGCTCAGGCTTGGGCTGAACGAAGAATTTCTCCCTTGTCATTGTCAGAAAATACCAATTATCCAGTGCCAAGACAGGAACATTTGCTCTTATTGAGCACTGACTGCACCAACGCAGGACCCAGCACCTTCTACTCAAGTCACTGACCTCTATACTAGGGAGTTTGAATGCCCCGGTGCTCTCAAACAGTCCGTGTGGGTACATGGATGGGAAAAACCACAAGGATGTGACTAAACCCTCCAGCCACAGTGCCCGACACCACCGCTACCTCAAAACACATAGTGATAGTTGGAGGCTTTCCCCCAAGGCGAGGTTGAGCATCGGAAGATTTTCTGACTACTGGGGGTTTGGGAGGGCTCGTGCCACCCTTGCTGGGATGGTGCTACTGCGACAAATGCATCCCCAGGGGGTCACTGGGCTGAGTGGGGAAGCTGGGCAAGGAGAGGAGGCCTCTTTGATTCAAAGAGGAAAAAGAAGAATGAAAATGCTTTCTTTTGTGTTCACAACAACAACAACGAGCAAAACTACGTACATTCATATTTGCACAACTACAAAAGAAAAAATCACTCCTTTGCATCACTTGGTACTCCAGCTATCCCCGCCTTTCCACGCCTGTCCACTAACAGGGACCTCTGCAGACCCCTTACTGCCATACCACGGAAACGCGTGGGAAACAGCCGAGACAGAAAGAGGGATGCTCACAGGAATAGAGAAGCTGGGGCCGGCACCACAGCTGCTGCAAGTCAGCACGGACTGAAGCCATGGCCCTTCTGCAGCCGGGGCCGTAATGGCTGCATTAGCTTCCACCAGGGAGGGTGCCCCCTTTGTAACAGAAGCAAATTCAAGCATTGTACAGCAAAGCTAAGAAAGACGGGAAATGGCTTCTTTCAGAGCCAGACTCTGATCAAGCATACGTGATTTAGGCTTTAACGTCCCAAACAGCTTCCCTACCTTCACAGGATGTCAGAGTCATGCTATTAAACCCTCGTCCCAGGGATACGCTGTGAGACAACAGGTCCCCATGCAGCGCAGCTGGTGGGGGAATGTGTTGGGAGCTCACGCCTGGGGATGGCAAATCCAGCCCCTGCAAGTGCGTGGCACACACCACTGTAATCTCTGAGCAGACCTGCTTTCTGCCTTGCGTCTCTCAGGTGTTTGCACACTGCTGAGAGCATCAAGAGCATCAGGAAAACAACTGAGTGCTCACCGAGCAACCTCCTCTGCTACATGCCCCCCGCATCGCACCGCCTTGTTTCCCTCCCAGCACCTGCAGGACAAAACATCATGCTTCAGAAAAATTAAACCTGATAAACGTGTATTGGCTTTTCTTGGCTAAAGCAATCATGACCTTCCAGTGACATTTTCCTTCAAGTGTCAGTCCTGAAAATCCCCACGCCTGCTCTGCATGGCATGTCTTAAAAGAGTAGATCACTGCTCGGTGCCATTGCAACCCCACAAGCAGGGTCTGACACCAACAAGATTTTTCTTAGAGACGAGGGTTGACTCATCTGTGACCAACAGCATTCCCTACCTGTGCCCCTGGGAATGGTAACACTGAGCTTGGAGTTAAAAATACATTTCGAAGCAGCAGCATGATATTTATATGATGAATGCTCTTTATAAATGGCACTGCCATTAAGTAAGTCTTAACACGAATGTCACCCACTGCAGG